AGAGAATTCATTAAAAGTAAAACAGAACATTTCAGCACATAATTAACACTTAACTCTTAAACCAGGCAACCATGATAATTTATGGAACGCAGCGTGGGTCTCTACACTTCTGATGCTGATTTTTAATGAACCTTGAAATAGTTACTTCTGACAGACTAAAATAATGCTAGAGTGCCACTTTTTAAAGTGTGAAAAAATAAAAAGTGTCAAAGATGTGAGGAAGTCCTGTCCAAATGTGGTCTAGACAGCTTGAGATCAGCCCTGAATCTTATATTAGAAAAGCTGTTGAAGGAAACAGCTAAAAGAAAATTAGAAGCGTGGAAGGTTAATTATTAATGACGAAGTATAGAACATGTCTTACCAAATGAATATGGGAGGAGGTTGCATATTTTTAGCTGATTAAGGAAGTGATGGTTATGTTTCAGCATCTTTAAACCTTTTTTATTTCGTTACATTCTCATTTTAAATATGTGTTTTACAATACCAACAGATTGTATGTTAAAGGGTTATGAACTGTTTACTGCTGAAACATTATTTTGGCATTATCACTGCCTCACCAGCTGTGTCAAGTAAGATTGTACTTTTGTTTAAGGATTTCTTCAATAACCCAGAAGAAAATAAAAAATATGTTTTTAAGTAATACTGCTTAGAAAAGAAGTAAACAATGAAGAGGACAGATTAAGGTGGATTGCTTGGCAAGCAGGGCGTGTTCAAAAAATGTTATGGTTAAACTGCACATCTTTAGAACAAAGAATTCAAGGTACACTTATGCAAGGAAAGACTATACGCTGAAAATGTAGGATCCTAAAAATTGGGAAAGACACAGAAGAATCCCCTCCCCCTATTATTTGGTACCTAAGGTCAAGCTCTATTAATAAGAAACTTAAGGAACTCTATTTTGGTTTATTTAATGGGGAAAAAAAAGGAGAAATAAATGGATTTGTGTCAGGTCAAGCAAAAAGATACCATTTCAACAGGCTCATCAGTATCTGAGAGAAGAGTGACACAAGGTTTAAGAACTAGAACTTGAAATCAGAATAATTAAGATGGGTTATGTAATTGATGATAGCAGTAAGCCCCTGGAACATTTTTATTGGAATACTGGAATTGCCACACTGGTAACAGTAGGACTACACATAAATGCATGCATTAATGAATGGAGGTGTTATCCCAAGTGTCTCTCCAGAATTCAGTTCTTTCTCATTTTATACCAAGTGAGGGTATTCCCTAAAAAGGGAATTTTCAGCCCAGTTTCTGCTGTTAATATAATGGGAAGTTCTGTGTTCCATTCTTACCATTCTGGTATAGAGGAAAAAAAATTGGGAGAAGAGTGAACACTGTCCCTAGTGAGAAAGTTTTTCAAATTAAATTGAAGGACACCTGTCATGCACATATTTATTTTACGTTAAACAAAATAATCCTGTTTGAGCTTGAGCTTTTATGTCTGAAGGAAAAAGCTCGTGAAGGGAGTTTATATATAAATACTTTCTGCAAGCATTATCGATGCAGCTGTTACTCTACATTCAATTACTGAAAGTAGCACATGGTTAGACAGCTTTATTTGTTGCAGAATCAATCTCTACCTGACTTTTATTACAGGTAAGAGATTAAAAACAGCTCTATGAAATGATGAGAGGAATTCCCAAATGCAATAGCAGTGACATCATGTGAGGCCATTAAGCAAAGACTCAATTATTAATATCTACTTTACAATTCTGAAAGGTAGAGGGCAAAGGTTTGAACTTGCTGTAACCTCATAGCACAAAATCCTTTTAGCTTCAAGGAGCTTGTATTCTTTGTTTTTCTGCACTCTGTTAATTTTTATTCATAATTTTTAATAATAGACATTAGGACTTTACACTTCAGTTATTGGCTTTACCAGTCCCATGACTATTCATAGGAATAGGCGGAGGTATGGAGAGGAGAGTACATCTCAAAGCAACTGCTGTGCTTCTGTTCTCTCTGCACTGATCTTCAAGAGTTTTAATACCTTCAATGGATAAGTCTGGAAACTAAAATTTATTGAATACAAAAAAACCCTGACGTTAATAATATTAGTTTCATGCCATATTACTGCCTTCCCTGTGCCTCTTCTGGCTAACCTCACTGCTGCACAGCTGATAGGAACAACGGGTAGAGTCTGGCACCGACAGACACCCTGTTGTCTCCTGATAATGCCTGTCTGGCCCCTTTGCTGCTCCAGAAACATCGACTAACTGCCCATTCCTTTTGGATGTCCTAGTTGATCAGCATCTCATTAAACTCAGGAATTTGTTTGTACTTGCATTTCATTCTTAAATCTGCTGCTTCAGTTTTCCATGTAGCCCAACTTTTTTCCCATTTATATTGTTTGGTCTTAGTTGCTAATATTTGATCTATTGCTAATGTTGCAACTGAATTTATGTATAAACTATGTATATTAATACATCTGATATATCTAATACAAATGTGTATATATATATGTTCTTCAATACGTGTGTATCTGTCTCTTAAGGAATTGGAGACTTGCAATAAGAACGCTTAAAAGACTGATAAATGTGGCCGGTTTTACACTGGAAAACAAAACGGTTAAATTAATTCTAACTTTTAGCTGCTGCTGTGCAGCTGGCACTGATGGCCAAGTCCTTGTCAATCTCCAGGGTGAACGTCATCAGGCTGGAGAGGTTAGACCAGAGGAAGTGTCTTCATTTCTTCCTCATTGGTGTTTTCTGCTTCTTACCTCCTCCCCCTGGATTCAGCAGCTTTTTGGCTTGTTTTTTGCCTTTGCCAGTCATGCCTCTTTTGCCTTGGGCAGGATGCCTTGCCCATTTTCCTTCCCCTGGGCTTATTTTGGTCTTTATCTTGTAACTTCTGTCACTTGGATGTCTCCAAAGTGCAACTGTGCAAGCCTGTCTTTGCTGCTTTGATGGCTTCATTACTTATTACATGACATGCTTGCACATATGTTGGGCTGTGCCATGCAGTATTACAAAATATTTGCATTATGGTCATTCTGCTATTTAAATGTGCTTACATTTGCAGTTGGGGCAAACTCATACTAACTACATAAAGATTAACACACTTAGGGCTTTTCTACTTCAGCTGCATTAGCTCAAACCTTGCGCTTTTTTGTTATTTCTTGTTCTGATAAAGAAAGAGAATAATCTCAGATGGTTAAAAGTCCAAGAAACATCTAAATTCAGGATGACAGTCTTTTTACGTAGAGAACCAGATCTGGTGGACCTGCATACCCTTTTTTTTTAACCTCAGAATACATCGTCCTTCAGTCAAAACAGGGACGCTTCAGTCTTTTTAGGTATTTATCCCATCTAAGGTCTTTTTGTGAAGCTGGTCTAGGCTGTCCTTCTGAAGCTTTGTCTTTGCAGGCACACAGTTCATGGGAAGTTGTTCAGTGTCTTCCTGTGCTCTGGTTGTAAGGCTAACTGGAATGTGAGCTTGTGCCACTGCATTGCCTGGCTCAGATGTGCGAACCGTAGGTGCTAAATACAGTCAAGCAGAGAATCTGCCTGTTAGAACATGAAGGGAAGAGTGATTGGGTTTCTGGATAATATTTAAATGGTCTGTTTGTAGACAATCTTGCATTAATCTTGAACATGAGTTACTATTTTGTTATCAAAAGTGTTTTATTGTTTTCCATGTTATTTTGGAAAGATGCACAGTGGGAGACCTGTATTCCAACAAGGATATAAAATTGATTTTCATCGTCTCTTAGAAGAAAGGCAAAGTTCTTCGAAGTAAAAATTGAAACAGGAAAGACTAGAGGAAAAAAAAGTTCGTATATGAGGATGGATTTTCCTAGTGGTTTTGAAATGCAGAATTTTTCTAAGAAAGGCTCAAATGCCATTTGTGGTTTTGAAGAGGAAATATTCCCCTCCATCCGGATTCTGTCTGCAAGCTGACTGCCTGAATGTCGCTGTAGTAAAGAAGGTTGATCTGTTACACCTTCTTGCTTCCTAAAATGTCCAAGCAGTGAAAGTGCAAAATGATTTCTTGAATATCTATTTTTTCTGTACAGTGTTTTTTCTCTGGCTGAAGCATCCTGGACTTAGCTAACATAAACATAGTACACAGACACAGCAATCTTGTGTCTTTGTATCACAGGTAATAGAGTTAGATTTGTCAAATTTTAGATTCACTGAAAAACTTAGTGCTACTTCAGCATCTTCCATGTTACTGCAAGTAATCCAAAACTCGTAGCTGTTCTACTGGAGAAAACAAACAAAACCACCACAAAAACAATAAACACAAAACCAACAACAAAACACCAAAGGAACAGAAACACCAAATAACAACCTATAACAGTTAGATGAGCTGTTTCCTGGATGTAACTAGGTGTTAGAGTCTTACCAGTCACTTTTATTAGGTTATATACATAGAGGTAAGTGATACAATGAAATCTGTAAGCTAGAGGACAGATTTCAAGTCTGCTTCTTTTGCAGTGATTGATTTGTCAACTAAAAAAATCTGACTCAGCTGACCAGTACAAAAAGCCGATGCATTGGGATACAGATAATTTTAATATACTTTTATGATTTATACATCCTACAAAAGATTGAGAATTTTATTACTTGCTAGTATTTCAAAGTATTGATTTCTTTTTCTAGCTATCTAATTATTTCTCAGTATCCAAGGTTTAGTATCATGCATCAGTTATTTATTATGGTTTGAAAAGTGATTGAAAATGATTGATTCTGTACTTATTTTCATTGAAGGCACAGCTGCACACTTTGGGGGAAACTTGCTTTGTACAGATACTTGCATGAAGGCAGTAGCGTACTGTAGCCATGGAATATTAAGCTATGTAGGTAGAGGTAATCCTCATCTCCTTCACACACTGAGAGTGGTATCTTGATTTTTAGCTGTACAGTCATCTTGCAGTAGAAAATGTCTCTTTGCACTGGAATTTGTATGGGAACCATAGTGAGAAAATAAATATGGATTAATGCGGTAATAGTTAAGTTTGCCCTAAACACGTTTTCCAGAAGTGTCTCTCTTGCTGCTCAGTCTTCTATTTTCAATTTAAATTCCACTTTTCCTTCATATGGATCATGAACATTATCAAAGGTAATTCCAGCTCCAATGATTTTGCACACTATTTTAAGTTCTGTATTCCGTGTGATGTTGAGAAATTTCACAGCTACCAGAGGATTGCTGTAGCTGGGCTAGGAGGGGGGAAAGAAAAGAAAATAATTTTACACTACCAGTTTAAAAACAAAGTCTTAAAAATAGCCTTCTCTTGAGTTCTTGTAGGATTGCAGAGGTGCTCCATGTGTTTCACCTTATACAAAGAGAAAGAAGAGAATTATATTTAAATACATAAAGCACCCACCTGAGCCTTTTTCCCATAGTAGGGGAAGTAGTGCAGGTTGAAGGTACCATTCACGGGGTAGTAGTCCACCTCCAGCGTGTGAGACTCCTCACCCTGTTTTGTAAAATAAGAAAGGAAGATGCTTCATTGGTGAGGAAATTGTCAACCAGCCCTGGGTGAGTGTTTCACTGCTGCTAAGTGTGTATTAAAGCTTGAGTTCAGCAGTCTGTTTAGCACCGGTCTTATTTTTATTTTTCAAATAAAAGTGGGAATCTCCAGCTGTTACTATTGCCAAGAAAAGCAGGCAAGTGTTCTTTGATAGCAGTTGGGAATTCAGTAAGTTGAACCTGCTGAAATGGGGGTAGAGCCTGAGGGAGCTGTGCTGAGGTGTGAATTCACTGTGGGGAGCTGAAAGCAAACAGCACATTCTCTGCAGCACAGGAGAACTATTTTTCAGGTAATTTAAAATAAAGCAAACTTTTTTTTTTTTCAGCATGTCTGCTGGTGCAAGAAACTGCACAGAATTGAAAATATTCTGAGTATTTGGCATCTGATTTTCAGAGCTGAAAGAGTAATCTCTCTGGTCACAACTGCAGTTCTCTTGCTCTCAGAGCTGCAGTGCTTGAAATATGTGAGACTAACTTCATACCCTTACCACATATGTGCAGTTCACCCTTGGTGCAGTGCCATTGCCAGGGAAAAACTTAACAATCTGAAATAGAAAACACACATTTGGTCATCTTGGAAATTGTTTTGAGATAAAACTGAGCAAACAGTTGAGAACTGAGCTTCAAAGGATGCTTAATGTGTTTCTGCATAAGGTTCTGTCAAACAGATCATCTCATCTTGTATACCTGGGTGAAAAACTGCTGTAGTTGGATACTTAGGAAGCAGGACTTGGTTCAGCTCAGGATGGGCACTGAAGATGGGCTCCAGCCTGGCTGGGGCAGGTAGTGCTGCACCTCCTCCAAGTCCAGCTCGTTTACCCACAGGTCCCACTTGCCCTTGCTGATGTCCAGGCAGCCAGGGGTCTCTTAAAAGAGCTGATTATATGTCAAGAAAGGAAAAGCTGAATCTTCATGCTTTTATTCTTAATCTTCTTAGAAAAACTTGGTTTTGGCAAAAAAACCTTGTGCTGGTTTGATCCTACAAAACTAGTGGGGTCACATCCTGTAGCAACAAAGGCAAAAGGAGGTGAAATCCCCCCAGTCACTATCCATCCATCTTTTTCCTGCTGAGGCTGGCACCTGGGCTTGCTGAAGGAGACATTTTGGGCAAAAGCTTGTGTTCCATCTGCCAAAATCAGGGGCAAAGCTCTTCTCTCACAGTTAGGGCTTGCACAGATTCTTGAAAATGTCTAGGGTGGAAGCCAAACCAAAAATGAAGTAATTTTGTCTATCAGGAAGTGGAGAGGAGTCTGAGCTCTTCACTTTCTACTGAAACTGAATTAGAAGGTTCAGGATTTTAACCCAAAACAAATATCAAATGCCTTTGTCTATGTCCTGAAAAAAAGGATGCATAGAAAATTCCCTTTTTCCTCTCCAAAAAACATGTGTTGGTGGTTTTTCCTGAGAACAATATCCACCAGGTTTAAATTTTGTCTTTATAGGTTCTGCTAAAGATTTTCTTTGCAGCCCGGAGAAATAAGGTATCACCTTTCTGAACCCACTTCAGTTACCATCACATCCTAATGTCTCAGCTGAAGGCACAGGACTGTAATATTGCAGGAGGAAACTGTTTTGTGTGCTAGTTTGTGGGAGGAGAGCCCTACAGAAGCACTAACAAAATGAAAGCCAAAGATGTAGAGTGTCAGTTCAGAGATCACTGCCCTGTTACTTTCCTAGGGTGGTGAACAAGTCTCAGGATTTCTCTGGAAACTCCGGAGGTCTGTCAGGGAAAAGCACACGATTTTTTATTCCCGGTAAAAAGCAGAGTTTAGAACCCGTGGCAGCAGATGACACAGCAGCTCCTCAGTGGAGATACCAGTTACCCTCAATGAATTCTTTCCTGCTTGGCACTCTGAGCTTGTACTTACCCTGTTCATTTTTATAATAAAACAGGGTTTCCCTTCTGGAAATCCAAAAGTTGGATCAGTGATGCCAGAGCAGTTTTGAAGCATATCTGATGTAAATTTGCAGGATAGTTTTGTTTTGTTCGGGCCATCAAAGGTGTCCTGGATGAAGTATGTGTTATTGGTACAGTTGATGTTCAGGTGCTGAGCAGATGGCGTGTACGCTAGATGTGTGGAGGAAGAAAGAAAAATTTCCCTCTGAAGTTTTTCATATGCAAATTATAGATTCCAACATCAGGCTGGAGGTTTTATCATGGTAGAATGTACTTCAAGTGAAGTTTGGATTAAACAGAATGAAGAAACTTTAAACTGTTTGGGGGTTTGGTTCAGGTTTGGTTTTTTTTTTTAGAATATCCAAGCAAAAGAAAAAAAAAGGAGATCAAATTGAGTTGACTGGCAATATAAAGTCAGTTTCAAATATAATTTTTTTCAGTATGTGCGTGAGAAACATGCAGAATTACAATAATATTAACTCAAAAAGAATATAAATGTGCTAAGATATTAACAGGCAAATGGGGCACCTAACCTACTTTGACTGTACTCTCTGATGGCAGCATACAATGGCTTTACTGACTTATTATGGCACTTTGATGTTTGTAGTCGCAGACAAATTAATTAAATTAATTTAGATGAGACTAGTTTTGAGGAACTTTTGTGTCCCCCCCCCCTTCCCCCAACTTTCTATTGGCCTATTTTATAGAGGCCATTTAGGATGAAACAAAGTAAAAGCTCTGAAGCAGGACTCTCATTTTAATAGAAATGTTTACATATCTATACATTTATAGATTCATGAGGTGATTTGCTCATCCCTTTTAGAAGATACACCTTCACTCAAAATCTCTGATTTGACAAGGACAAATGTAAAATGGAGACACTGACATAAGGTTCTCAGACCTAGTATGGGAGATGGGTCAGCACATTTCTTTGTTATTATGCAGAAAACCTCATTTTTACCTGCCAGAAAAGTGTGAAGAGTTGTCACTAAACCTTCCCAGGTTTTGTTGTCAGATACATTATAATAAATTTGTAGTCCTCTATCCCCATAAACGTCAGGTCGTAATGTTACACCTTCATGGGGGAAGAAAAGGGAAGACAAAGCAGAAGAGAGTTGCCAGGCACGGATTTGTTTAAATAAATTGACAGCAGTGATTATGCTACATCAAGACTCAGTATAGTAGATCCTCAGGCTTTGTTGGAGGATTTAACTATGTACAGAAACCACCTCAGCTGTGAGTTTTTCAACCAAAACTCTAAAGCCTTTGTACTGCTGAACTATTTTCACGTATATCCGTGCTGTTATAAGAACAGCTTGTAAAATCATTCCAGCAAATGCACTGGATTTCCTCAAGACTTCTTAACAATAACAGTCACATCAGGTTAAAGAAACAGATCATACAGCAGCATGAGGAACAGCTTTTGAAAAAGCCACACTTAATATTTTACAGGAATTATTTTACTAGCAAACACCAAGCCTACTGAATACTAGGAGAGGAAACTTCAAAATACATCATCTGACAGAATAATTCTTAGGGCTACAACTTCTAAAAAGTAATTTTTTCACTCCCATTGTGAAAACAAGTAATTGGGATGTGAAGTTTTAGCAGTGTGCACTGATGATCTCTTGCTGATCATCTCCCCTGTCTCTTTTCATGTCCCACAAATCTTTATTCCTAATGCCACAAGTCTTTGTCTTATTTTTACTTGTTTGACTGCTGGCACAGCATATCCTGCTGGGAAGGTATCCCTGCTCTTCCAGGGACTTTCTGTAGTGCCAGCAAGTATGGAAATACCCACTCCAGGTTGCTTGCCCCAGTGCCTCTCCATCTTGCAGGCACCCCACAACCCTCCATGGTGCTTTGGGGTTGGAGCAGAACCCAGGCTTTCTTCAGGGATTGATCCCTGCCCATGGGGACAGGAGGTGCCCCACAGCCCATGAAAGCCTCCTCCTCTTGCAGATGACTGCTACAGGCAGGCACTGATTAGCTCAGTAGTGTGATTAAATAAATTAGTGTATATATATGAAATTTTGTATTATTTGATGGTATATATTTATATATTATCTAATTTATATTATATTATTTATTCATATATAAATTAATACTTAATAAATTAAATAAATGTACCAATATTTTTTAAAGCCTGATTGTGTTTTCAGGGAGAGGTTAAACTTTGCAGGGATCATTTGGGCAGAATTGACCTGATTTATACGACATTGGTCCCCCCTCATGCCTGGGCTCTGCCAATGCCTCTCAGCCCAGCCCAGCCCCACACAGCCATTGCGGGACCCTGGCCATACCTGGGGATTTCAGCTGGTCTTGGTAATCCGGTTCATATGGATTAATTGTCCTCATTAAAGAATAAATGGAGAGTGCGAACAGCCCTGACATCACCACGTAGAAAGCCAGGTAGTAGAGGCTGATCCAGACTGTGTTAAAAAATGAAAGCAAAATCTCATTTTTCGAGCAAGGCACAGTGATCCCTCTGCAGCCAGGAGCATCCTGGCAGCAGCAGCTGTCTTCTTTCCACCCTTGGCCTCAGGGAGGTTTTCCCTGTAAAGGGACAGGTGTTTTGGATCACTTTCTCTACACTCAAAAGAATATTTTTCTAGGAAAAAATTGTTCAGTTTTAAAGAGATTTTTGAAGTAGTTGGTGCTGAGCTCAGATTGTTTAAAACTTAAAATATTATGTGGCTTCTTGAAGTAACTTCACATATTAAGACCATTTATCTACTTATTACACATGGACTGGGTGACACAGCCAAGGTATTTCTGTGTCAAAACCAAGTTGCTCCTTGTGTTATTTGGATGACAGATGTCAGTGTTTTGGGTGTGCTGATTTTAGACCCATATCACTTCACTGCCTTTTACAGCTGAAATCACCATCAGCAAAATGTGTCATCTTGCTATTTTACTCTGGTGTGAGATGCAGAATAATGTTGTATTTCTGACTGTATGTGCATGAAGTGTCTTACACATGGCTGATGCTCTACAGGCAGTTAGTGGCTGTTTTGTGGGAGGGCTGTTAGAAATCTGCCCCTGCATTCATTGGCGCCTCATAGTACATTCCTCTCTACCAACTGGAAGGGCTCACACTTCAGTTGCATTTTCTGTGAAATTCTGGTTTTAGGAGTGGCCAATAAGCCACACTCACAGATTTCATGGCAGAAAAAAAATCACCTGGAAACTTGCAGCTACTCTTACAGTTTGTGGAAAGAGCAGGGATATTCCTTACAATGGTCCAGACTGCCCTTCTCAGAATGTAGATCATAAAATACATCATCGTTGTAGATACCAGTTTGACTATGGGAAGAGTTTGGCTATGGGAAGAGAGGCTCATCTGAAATACACACTAAGATACAGTGGTAAGAAACAAGACCTACTAAGCAGACAATAATTCAGAAAGGAATTTTAGAAAAACAAAGCTTGTTTACAAAGAATTGGACAAACTCCACCAATTAAGCAAAATTCCCCATGTACTACTATGTGAACCCCTTTTAGTTAGCAGATCAGAACCCGACTATAATCGTCACCCTTAACTATCAATAAGTTACCTGTTAATGTGTTAATTTTTCTCCTTTCAAAGTACTTGGTTTAAAACCACTTTCAAGTCATCTTACATTTGCAGGAACTACTGGATCAATGTTTTGATCGGTTTATTATTATTATCAATTGATCCAGCTTATAGGGTCACCCAAAAAGTGGTTCAAAATTATATGTGACAACCGATGTCTTCAACTTATCTACATTGTGCCCCCCTCATTAGGATGACACTTCCCTACATGGTTTTTAAATATTCTACAAGGAAGAGAAGACCCTTATATGTGAAAACCTACCCCAGTTAATTAAGGACCTTCCCATGAAGAGCTTTGTTTCTGGATTCCAGACAAAACGACGGAAATTTTCCATCCGTTCACTGCAGGTCTTCTTTTCATTTAAAGTTGCCATTTTCTCGCAGAAGTTCCCAAAAATGTGTCCTCCTTTGAAACTGAGAAATTCAACCGGTTCCCAGAAGACAGCCAACCAAGAAACTTTGGGTTTTATACCTTCTTCTCCACTGAAGGTCACCAAGTTTGTTTCCTGTGCCAATGAAAGCCCCTGCTCACTACTATCAACCTGCTGCAGAAACAATTCTTTATAAAGGGTGTTGATAATGCTGCAATTGAGGCTGGCAGGGGAAAGTTAGTTCTAGTCAAATGCCCTTCTCCTTTCTGTTGATGGCCTTAGCAGGTCAGTTGTGATAACTGTTATCAGAGCAGATAAAGTAAGTGAGAGCTTGTTTCTCCCTGGGTTTTCTTTTCTTTTTGTTTTTTCCAATTAACATGGAATTGCTGGATAGAGTTCTCCCACTACAACCTGCAGACAGTTGTTGGGATATAAGGTATTTTAGTGGGAGTTAGTGGGGGGCAAAAAGCACCAGGTTTTCTCAGTGTTTGCCATGTTGTGCAGCTGGGGAAATAAGATCAATGTTTTTCTGTTTTCTGTGGGGAATGTTTTCAGGTAATCTCTGACAATGCTAACTCAGCTTTGGAGTGTGTATAATTTTGCCGTCACCATACAGACATGTGATGAGGTGGAGCAGAGAATGTACAGGAGCCATTTAACCCCTTTTCTATCTGCTTTAAACCAAAGGCTCTGGGGCATTCAGAGGCAGATGCTCAACCCTGAGTTCACTCTGTGTACAGAGGAACAAGACTGGAAAGTGTACCCAGCAGGTCCCCAGATACACAGAAAACCAAAGGGTGCCCTGCAAGTGACAGAGGCGATGAACTCTTAAATGCCGCAGCTGCAAGGGGAGCCTGGGTGTTAGAAAGCCCTTCCAGGCTCGCTGGTGTTCTTGCTGCTTGTCAAAGTCATTTGCTAATGCTCTTATTTTCTTATTGAATCCCAAAAAATGTCAAACCTCAAAAATTGCCTGGTGAACTCCCCAGGGCCAGGGTTTCACCCTATTTAACCAGGTGTATTGGTGTGCCCTGCCTTATACTCGCTTCACAGGACCCTTGATGAGGGCAAAGTCTTTGAAATGCGCATACATATAAGGTTAGCTGAGAAACTTTGGATTATTTGGACATTGAAACAGCTGTAATAGAACTGTCAGCTGGAGTAATCTGGCAAGATTATTCTGTCAACTAAATAATGTAGAGTTTCTGAACAGAGTTTTTTTGTAGGCTTTTTGCCTCAGGTTAGGCATCATGATAGTTTAGCATGATAGCCACCAATTTGGAGTGATTTATTCTCAGGTAATGAATTAGGAGTCAGGCCAAGTAAAAGAAAAATAAGATTTACAGACAGTTGACTAATTTGTATTTCCCACAGAAAAGAAAGGAGGATGAACATAAAGGTACTTTCAGTCATTACACCATGAGCTAATCGATATTCAAGACAAATGCGGGGTTTTTCTTAAAAGTTAAAATAAGACAGGGAGATTGGGCAGTGGCCTGAAAATTATGAAAATGAAACAGATGCCCACAGGTTAAAAGGTTTATGGAGGATCCCACATAGCAGTTTTGGAAAGGGGAACAGAGATGTGAAAAGATTAGGGAGAAGAGCAGGGAGGTGACCGTAGCAGGTCTTGAACAGGATTTAACTTTTCCTGTGCTGAGCAGGAGCTGTTTGGGTGAATCTGATGGAGGGGAGTGACTGGACTTGGTGAGATGGGAAGTTAGAGGCTTTTTGAAGAAAGAGTGCTTTCTGCACAGCTTGCAGAAAGGCAATAATTTGACCATACACAGATTTCAGCAGGCAACTGAATCTAAACAACAAATTAGTTATTAATAATGCAATTAAATCCCAAATTATGTTTAAAAGGAAAATGTTGTTGCTTCTGCTTTCACATAATGAAGATGATGTAGAAATCAGCAGGGTGCAAGTGTCTGTACAGGAGGTGAAGTGGAGCTTCTTGAAATTTAGGAGAATGTCCTCTGGTGAAACTGAGGTTAAGGATTTCACATGCTCTTCTCTCTTATGTTATATCCCATTCGTTCCCATCTATCATTGGCTGAGGAATCTAAAACTCTGCTGAGTTCAGCAGCACTCGCCCAGGTGTGGCTGCACAGCGTGAAGGAGACCATAAAACCAGGAGGGCAGAGTCATGTGCGGGAGGGGGAGAAAGGCACAGGGCAGCTCAACGGGACCACATGGGCAGTGGGAGAGGAGCAGCACCAAGTTCTTTCATCCCAACAGGGTCAAAGAAATATCTCTGGATTTGTGTAACACAGAACAGGCAGGAAAATGTTGGATGAAGGAAAGGAAAGCCAGATTTGAAACGAAGGAAGAAGAGCCTGGATGCTTTTAATGCTGCCGTAACCTGCACATAATGTGCTAACCTAGATTCAACCCTGCCAGCTATATTAGGCAAGAGTAGGGAAGCTAGATGATTTAAGTGAGTTATTTATATTATTATGCTTTATTTCTAAACTGGAGTTAGTAAAGATCAGTGAAAAATGAAAATGCAAATATGTCAAGTTAACAGCAGTATCTACATTTAAGATAAGAATAAAGCAGGAGAATATTACAGCTGAAAATATGTTCTGACTAGAAGCTCCAAAAATACAAATTAGATAAATGCATTAACCACATTAATATAAAAGTGCAAATAGGATAATATAACTTTATTATATTCTTACTGTATAATACATTATTTCAACTGCTACACAAATTAAATACATTATTATATATTAAAACAAATAAATTACAAAAATGCATTTACATCAAATACAGAAGTAAGAAAAACAAAGTCATATAACAGTGGGTGGTTATATTAAGATAGTTTGTCTCTTAGATTTCTCCTCCTGTGTTGCAAATTGTTAATGAAAATGTCAGATGTATCACTCTCTGCATTTGGACAGAGTGTGATACATCAGCACATATGAGCTGAAAAACTTGCATTTCATTGATGAACTCACCAGGACTTTTGAGCCAGCGCTGAACTTAAAGACCAGGCTTACTTGTGGAAGTGGTGTCATTGTTGCCACCAGCCAACTGTGTGTGGCAGTTGCTTGGTGCTTGTAAACAGGCACATCCTATTCAACACTATTCAGATAATTGCAGAGGATATTTTTGTTAAAAACTGAATTTCATTTACATCATGTCTAAATATAATTTAGGAAATGGGATTAGTTAGAAATAAGTAATTACTTGTTAAGTATGTAACTACTTTTGGAAGCTATATGCAAGCCTGGAAAAGCATGCAAATATATTGTTTATGTCTTTGGTGAGACCAAAGTGGCAATGTAAGGGGCCCAGAGGGGACACAGGGACACATGCTGCATGCCATGTATATGGGCAGTCTGCTCCCAAGCCAGGCACAGCCATGTCACCATGGACTTGGCTCCTGTTCCTCTTCAGCTTCACAGCAGCAGAGACCATGAGGAGAGAAGGGCCATCAAGAGCAGCACCTTCTGATATGCATGAGTTCTGAGTGTAGAAATTTCCCATTGGGAACATGGGGATTTTCCACCACCTTTCAAACAAACTGACTCAGAACGTGGTGTTTCCTCTGAAAGACTGGAGGAGAAGTTTGGGATAAAAAAAGCAATGATTTGTAATGGTGGATTTTCTTCCTTTTTTTTTCTTTTTTTTTTTCCTTCTAGGACAAAGAGTGAAATCTGGCTGCATGGAGCTAACAAAACACCTTTATTTACTCACTGAATTGCACAGGAGGCCAGAGGAATCTTGCTCATCTCCTGCAAGGTGAGGTGAATGAAATACTGGAGATGAAAAGCTGTGAGCAAAGGGCACTGATGCCTGGTGTGTGTTGGGGTGGGGGAGTGTTATACAGCAAACATGGGGGACAAGAAGGGATGAGAAACCTGCTAAAAGAGCAGGAGAGGAAAATGTTGGAGCACAGAGCTGAAGGTAGGATGGAGCAATGGCTATTCTATGGGCTCTGTTGAAGGGTTCCTGGATGGCACAGTAATTTGTCAGGACACTTGTTACTGACCAGTGGACAACTCTTCATGGCTCCACAGGGGGGGTTTGGTCTAAGCTCCCTCTTGCTTTACAATCCATCAGGATTCATCCAATGCCTGCTTTCCTCACCCACACATGCAGGGCTGCCCATCAGCATCCATCACTGCCCTGATGCCCTGGCCTTGTGGCCATTGCAGCCAGCCCTGGTCCCATTGCTGTGCCAATCCCTTCTTCCAGAACCTTTTGCTGTATTTAATCTACCCAGAGCTGCTCGAAGGGGGACTGATGTTTGCTTTCCTTGGCTGGTATTTAATGGCTGCATTGCTGACCTTGGGCTGGCCACAGAAGGAAAGGACAGCCAAGAGGGAAGGTCGTGCAGGAGTCTGGGGTGTGGCACAAGAAGCCACCCTGCAAGACTAGACGCAGCTGATTTATATGTACAAAGAGGGAGATGAAGCCCCTTCCTCTCCCAGTGGTTTGCACAGTTAGCAAGCTTGAGTAAAAAGCTTGAAGGCTACTTTTGGAGCACAATGCCTAAAAGGTTAGATCCAGGCTAAGATGGTATCCCTTGGAGATGATGCCCTTAGCAGACCCTTGTGCCAGTACACCTTGGCAGGCCAGGCTTGGCTTTATGCCAGGCTCCTTAAACACCATACTAGCTTGACCTGCGTTAGGTTCGCCTGGCACTGACTGGGAACTTGGTGTCAATGTTAATAAAACATTAACTTTGTTTGCTCGTGATAAGGGCCCTGATTCCATCCTCTTGTTGAGGCTGTGCAGAGGTGGTCGTGGTGGGGAATACCAGGAGGGACAGGTTGCTGCCTGCTGACTTATTGGAGCACTGCCAGAGGCATGACAGGGCATCAGCCTGCTGGCTTCAGATGGCTCCATGACACTGCCTCTCCAAGCACCATGATTTCAGCCTGTCTCCCTGAAGGAGGTGTTCATCTTGTGCTGCCTGGGTGACTTTCCAGAGCACAACATGGACTGCGCCAGCTGGGAGGAGAAACCATCCTGGTCTAGTAAGACATGGGGGA